AAAAGCATTTGACAAAGTACAGCATCCTTTCTTGATTAAAACGCTTCACAATGTAGGGATAGAGGGTACATACCTCAATATCATAAAAGCCATCTATGAAAAGCCCACAGCGAATATCATCCTCAGTGGGGAAAAACTGAGAGCTTTGCCCCTAAGGTCAGAACACGGCAGGAATTTCCATATCATCACTGCTGTTCAACATAGTACTAGAAGTCCTCAGCAATCAGACAACAAAAAGAATTAAAAGGCATCTGAATTGGCAGAGAAGTCAAACCCTCACTCTTTCCTGATGACACGATACTCTATGTAGAAAACCCAAAAGACTCCACCCCAACACTGCTAGAATTCATACAGGAAATCAGCAAAGTGGCAGGATATAAAATCAATGCATAGAAATCACTTGCATTTCTGTACACTAACAATGAGATAGAACGAAGAGAAATTAAGGAATCGATCCCATTTACAATTGCATCCAAAACCATAAGATACCTAGGAATAAACCTAACCAAAGAGGCGAAGGATCTGTACTCAGAAGACTATAGAACACTCAATGAAAGAAATGGAGGAAGACACAAAGAAATGGGAAAACGTTCCATGCCCTCGGATTGGAAGAACAAATACTATTAAAATGTCTATGCTACCTAGAGCAATCTGTACATTCAATGCAATCCCTATCAAAATACCATCAACTTTTTTCCCAGAGCTGGAACAAATAATCCTAAAATTTGTATGGAACCAGAAAAGACCCCGAATAGCCAGTGGAATGTTGAAAAAGAAAACCAAAGCTGGGGGCATCACAATGCCTGACTTCAAGCTCTATTACAAAACTGTGATCATAAAGATAGCATGGTACTGGCACAAAAACAGACATATAGATCAATGGAACAGAATAGAGAGCCCAGAAATGGACTCTCAACTCTATGGTCAACTAATCTTCAACAAAGCAGAAAACAATATCCAATGGAAAAAAGATAGTCTCTTCAATAAATGGTGCTGGGAAAATTGAACAGCAACCTGCAGAAGAATGAAACTGGACTATTTTCTTATACCGTACACAAAGATAAACTCAAAATGGATGAAAAGACCTAAATGTGAGATAGGAATCCATCAAAATCCTAGAGGAGAACACAGGCAGGAATCTCATCAACCTTGGCTACAGCAGCTTCTTGCAAGATACAATCTCTAAAGGCAAGGGAAACAAAAGCAAAGATGAACTATTGGGACTTTTATCAGGATAAAAAGCTTTTGCACAGCAAAGGAAGAAGCAAAAGGCAACCTGTGGAATGGGAAAAGATATTTGCAAATGACATTACAGATAAAAGGGCTGGTATCCAAGATCTATAAAGAATTTATCAAACTCAACACCCAAAGAACAAATAATCCAATCAAGAAATGGGCAGAAGACATGAACAGACACTTCTCCAAAGAAGACCTACAAATGGCCAACAGACACATGATAAAATGCTCCATATCACTTGGCATCAGGGAAATGCAAATCAAAACCACAATGAGATACACCAGTTAGAATGGCTAAAATAAACAAGGCAGGGAACAACAAATGTGGGCAATGATGTGGAGAAAGGGGAACCCTCTTACACTGTTGGTGGGAATGCAAGCTGGTACAGCCACTCTGGAAAACAGTATGGAGGTTCCTCAAGAAATTAAAAATAGAGCTACACCACGACCCAGCAATTGCACTACTTGGTATTTACCCCAAAGATACAGATGTAGTGAAAAGAAGGGCCACATGTACTCCAATGTTATTAGCAGCAGTGTCCACAATAGCCAAACTGTGAAAGGAGCCAAGATGTCCTTCAACAGATGAATGGATAAAGAAGATATGGTTCATATAAGCAATGGAATATTACTCAGCCATCAGAAAGGATGAATACCTACCATATGCATTGACGTGGATGGGACTGGAGGGTATTATGCTAAGTGAAATAATCAGAGAAAGACAATTACCATATGCTTTCACTCATATGGAATATAAGGAATAGTGCAGAGGATCATAGGGACAGGGAGGGAAAACTGAGTGGGAAGAAATCAGAGAGGGAGACAAATCATGGGAGACTCTTAACTCTGGGAAACAAACTGAGGGTTGGGGAAAGGGAGGTGGGTGGGGGGATGGGGTAACCGGGTGATGGGCATTATGGAGGGCACGAGATTTGATGAGCACTGGGTGTTATATGCAACTAATAAATCATTGAACATTGTATCAGAAACTAATGATGTGTTATATGTTGGCTAATTGAATTTAAATAAAAAAATGAAAAATATTTAAAAAAAGATCTTCTGTCCTTAGAGAAATGCAAATTAAAATTGTGAGATACACTTCCAAATTAAAATGACCAACAATGCCTTGTCCTGAAGTGGATATGGAGGAAATTGACCTCTCATATATTACTGGTGGGAATGGAAAATGTTAAAACAATTTGACAGTTTCTTACAATGTTAAATATATATTTACCACGTGACCCAGCCATTCTAATCCTAGATATTTACCCAAGTTAGGAAAACATGTCTACACAAATGTTCAGAGCAACTTCATTCATGATAGCCTAAATCTGGGAACAACCCAAATATGCATCAGTCTGTAAATGCATAAACAATTTGTGGTATATACATAAAATGGAATCCCACTCAGTAATAAAAAGGAACAGACTGCTGATATGTACACCAGCACTGATATATTGCAAAACCTTAGGTTAAGTATTTCTTATGAATTCTGGAAAAGATACAACTATAGTGATAAGATGAAGGTCTCTGTTGCCAGAGAGTTGGATGGAATTGAGTGCAGTTGTCCGGAGGAAACTTTTCGGGGTGATTGAGTGCTATATATCATGATTTTGGTAGTGGTTACGTGATTTTATCCATGTGTTAAAATTCACTCGTTAGGGGTGCCTGGGTGGCTCAGTCAGGTAAGCATCTACCTTTGGCTTAGGTCATGATCCCGGAATTCTGGGATGGATGGAGCCCCATTTGGGGCTCCCTGCTCAGCTGGGGGTCTGCTTCTCCCTCTTCTTCTACCCCTCCGCCTGCTACTACTTCTGTCTCTTAAATAAATAAATAAAATCTTTTAAAAAATTACTCATGAATTTTATTCATTATAAATTATCCCACAATAAAGCTGAACAAGAAAAAACAATTTTTAAAAAATGATCAAACTTCCTTTAAGTCATAGAAAGATTGGAGAGAATAACAGGTTTCATTCTTTTTCTGGACTTTCACAAACAAGGGTCTGCATGCTTTGGCAGAAAAAGGAGCAAGGCCATCACCAAGCAGGTAGGTATCTAGCTTTGCCCATCAGTTGAAGATAAAATTATATTCAGAAAAGAAGTAGTAATTTTGCTTAAAATAAAGTAAAAATAAAATTTCCCTTAAGAGCCCCAAATTTTCAATTATAAAGTAAGTTACAGTGATGAAAAGTACAGCATAGGGACTGTACTCAATAATACTGTAATAACTTTGTGTGGTGACAAATGGTAACTGCACTGTTTGTGGTGAGCAGTGTGTATGTAGAATATGTAAAATTGTCCAGCTTCTATGTTATACACCTGAAATTAACATAACATTGTATATCAACTGTCCTTCAGTTTAAAAAAGTACAAAGCATACTATAAAAAGTAATTGATATATTTAATTTTTTAGCTTCTTATTAACCATTGTCATTTTAATTCATTTTAGAAATATAAACCTGGTCGATGTGATGATATTTTGAAATGGAAGCCTCCCAGTCTGAATTCTGTGGATTTCCGCCTAAAGATAACAAGAATGGGAGGAGAAGGGTAAGTATGCACTTTTGCCACCATTTTTACATGAAATCATACTGTTTGTATAAGGTTTCACTGTTTACTGGATACTTTACATATACTTTACCCCCGCAAAAGTAAAATACTTTATTTTTACAATATACGTACATACCTATACATCTGATTTTCAGCTGTTAGAGCTACTAACATTTTGTATCCTTTAAACTTTACTAATTTTGGTCTTCAAAAGTACAGTTATTTCTAATATAAAAAATGAACTTTGTTAAATTGTAAATGTGACAATAGATTTTACTTGACAATTCCTGCCAATTGAATTATAAATATATGACCATGGTTGTTACAACTAAGTGTTTTGAAGTCTTTTTTACTTTGAAAGAAACTACTTCAAGCTTACATTTGCATAGCAAAACATTTCTCCATAGTTTAATTGTTGACTTTCATTAAGATTTTTCATAATGTATGGGCGCCTGGGTGGCTCAGTTTGTTAAGTGTCTGCCTTCAGCTCAGGTCCTGATCTCAGGGTCCTGGGATCAAGCCCCACATTGGGCTCCCTGCTCAGCGGGGAGTCTTGCTTCTCCCTCTCCCTCTGCCTGTCTCCCCAGCTTGTGCTCTCTCTCTCTCTGAAAAAAAAAAAAATCTTTAAAAAAGATTTTTCATAACGGTTGTTTTTTCATTTACTGGTTAATCTTACTTATATGACTTTATTGGTTGCTATTTTAGAATAAAGGTGCTTTAGCCTGAATATTTTCATTGTTTTTCCAAAACCTTGTTTTAGTTCACCTTGTTCCACAAATTATGACCTTTTATGTAAGTAAATATATAGCACGAAAATAAGAAATGTTTAATCAAGGAAATCATAAAGAGAAAGTAAATAAGATAACACTGACAGATTAAAAGTTTACTAGTACATGATATGAAATCATTTTTACTTGCCAAAGGTAAACTGCAGATTTGCTTTTTGTAGCTAATGGAACGAAGGATATGTGATCAGTTATATGAATCCAGACTCCAGAAGATAGTTTCTTAAAAGACTGTGCATTTTTAGATAAAGGATACTGTGCAGTGTGGTGAATCCTAAGTAAAAAAGGGAGTTTAATAAATCATACGAGTGTCAATTTTCATAAAATAGAGTATTTAATATCTTATATCCTTAAATAAGAGTCTCTGACTTAGTAGCGAAGTATAGTTGGAACAATTATCTGGGGCCCCAAATACTGTTGCTTAGGTATTTTACTCTGTATTGGTCTGAGTTCATCCAAGGATACATAGATAAAGTTTTGACTGTTTTGGGGATTGCATGATATATATATATATTTTTTCATTAAATAATATCAAAGATTAGATAAAAGAAATAGCATTGGCAACCCACAATATCTGTACATCAGATTCTTTGTGAGAAAGAATAATCTTAAGTTTACTTCTTATCAATACTTATCCAAAAATATTATTTCTCTTATTTAATTTTTGGATAACTATTGATATTAATATCAATACCAATTAATAGTTTGTTATTAAGCATCAGCAAATGCTTTATATTAATATGCTATTCTTAATAATATTAATAATTAAATATTACCAATTTTTTAAAACTGCCCCAAACTGTATACATAAAATCTTTGGATAAGTGTTGATAAGTACTGAATTCAAAATCATTCTTCCTGACAAAGTATCTAGTATGCAGATATTCTGAGTTGCCAGTTCGCTGTGGAACCTACACATAAGTAGTTAAGCAAGCTGAGTGTAGGCTTGATGTGTTCTCTGGGAGTTCCTTTTAGAAGTCTGCTGCACTTCTAAAACAGTGGAGGCTGAGGGATTAATTCTGGTAGGCTGCCTGCATCTTTCTTTTTTTTTCCTTAAAAGACATAGGTGAATATGGTTCTTTGGAGGAAATAAAAATTTTAAATCACTTCATTACTTAATCTTCTATTTTGTCTAATGCTATATTTATAATACTTTGTTAAGCAGTGTAAATCCTTGTGTGTGTTTATTTAAATTCAGTTAATTAACATATAATGTATTATTAGTTTCAGAGGTAGAGGTCAGTGATTCATCAGTCTTATATAACACCCAGTGCTCATTACATCACGTGCCCTCCTTAATGTCCATCACCCAGTTACCCCATCCTCCCATCCCCCTGCCCTCCAGCAGCCCTCAGTTTGTTTCCTATGATTAAGAGTCTTTTATGGTTTGTCTTCCTCTCTGATTTCATTTTGTTTTATTTTTCCCTCTCTTCCGCTATGCTCGTTTTGTTTCTCAAATTCCACATATCAGTGAGATCATATGATAATTGTCTTTCTCTGATTGACTTATTTCGCTTAGCATAATACCCTCCAGTTCCATCCACATCATTGCAAATGGTAAGGTTTCATTTTTTTGATGGCTGAGTAGTAGTCAATGGTATATATACCTACCCCATCTTTTTTTTTTTTTTTTTCTTTACATACCCCATCTTTTTTATCTGTTCATCTGTCAGTGGACATCTGGGCTCTTTCCATAGTTTGGCTGTTGTGGACATTGCTGCTGTAAATATTGGGGTGCAGGTGCCCCTTTGGGGTAAATATCTAGTAGTGCAATTGCTGGGTTGTAGGGCCTTGTGTGTGTTTCATTGATGTTTTGTGGAGTTTTGAAAAACTTTGTTTTGCTTTTTACAGATCATAATTCTTAGCACTGAAAAGCTACATGAGGCTATATATAGGATGTCCATTTTCTAAGTAGCAAAAATGAGAATATCTTTTTCTTGCAGTTGTCCACTGCAGTTAAATATAGCAAGATATAATTCAGTTTAATAGTTTGTCATCCCAGTTTTGCTTTGTTCTTAGTATGTTTTTAAGTATATTTTGTTCTTTTAAAATTTTACCTAATTTTAAATGTCTTCTTACCAAAAAAAAAAGGAATTACTTTTAATTCTTTTAATTTTAAACACACCACAATGTTAGCACTTAAGGTGATTTTATGATAGGAATGTGCAAGTTATATTTGTGTAGGTACATAATTTATTTATGTAACATGGGTGTTAGTTTTCAAAAATAGGGTATTTAATATGAAATACAGTGTGATAACTATTACATAAAGCATGTGTTATTCAGTTAGCCAGCATAATATGCTTTTTTAATGTAAAGAATGTTATGTATTATAGCAGTTTTCACTAAATAAATGAGCTTACATCTAATGCTTATGGTAGATGCTGTATGTTAGAGGGCATTTTAAGAAATATGCCTGTAATAGTTTGAAAGGAGAGTAGCCATGTCTCTAAATTGTAAGACAAAGCATGTGACCAGTGAAGTGGTACTAAGATATTAAAATGCCATGAGACAAGCTCATTTCTTTTCTTGATTGCACTTCTAAATATTTCTAAATCTAAAAGCTAATCTAATCTAAAGCTTAGAATGGAGTAGAATGTCTTAAAAAGTATAATACAAGTACCAATCCTTGAAAATGTCTCCATTTTTTTTTTAATGAAGTCTTAGGCTTTCAAAGTATGGTTTTGAGTTTTACTCAGCTGCTGTAATAAAGTGGGTATAGTATAGATTCTTGTTAGATTAAAATTTAATACAAATAGAAAAATGTGTTATTAAATGCCCTGTCGGCAATTAAAATCTAAACTTTGCTTTTTTTTTTTTAAACTCCTTTTAGTATCATTTCTGATAATTTGGGGTATATTAACTTTGATTTATCATGGCCTAAAATAACTTTTATATATCTTAGCTATTTGCATTGTATTGAACTTTATAGACATACAATAGAGATTTTTATCTGAGAGCTATGTGTTTTAAAAAATATTATGGGTTTATATTAACTTATCTATAACCAAAAACTGGTCATTGTGTCAAAAGCTAGAATTACAAAGGTCTGTTCTTGAAAGTGCAAACTCTTGAGTACAATGTCAGTGGCTTATGGTGAGTAGTATAAATTTATTATTTATATAGCATAGTAGTTTAGAGCACAGATTCTAGAGTCAGACTGCCTGGGTTTAAATATCCTTATTAGCTGTGTGACCTTGAGCACATTCCTTTTTTCTGTGCCTTCTATTTCTCATTCATAAAATAGAAATTGACCTGATAAGACTTAAGATTTAAAAGGATTAAATGAGCTAATATATGTAAAATAGAACAGATGGCACATGTTAAGCATTTAAATGTTTGCTGTCATTTTTGTTTTAATTAAAATAGATTTAAAAGTCCATACTTCCTTTTTGTTGCTCCTGCAATTCTTTTGTTTGCTGAACTGTGTAAGTTCAGTTTTCTGTGTGAATTATTTCCCATTTGATTCTAATCCCTATTAATTTTTCCCTTTTAAAGTACATATATCTTCAACTTACTTGTGTAATTAATCATAAATTGTTAAACAGCTGGAGAACAAGAACATAAAGTCACAAAACTTTTATTTGTAGATTTTTTTGGTAACAAATATCTTAAAATAACCTTGGCTATATGTATAGTGGTTAAGAACACAGGCCTAATGGTTAGGAACATGATGTTATTAGCAACTTGGCCCAGACTGTATAGAATCAAATCCTAGCTTCAGTCCTTTCTTGCTGCTGTTACTTTCTTGCTAATCTTTCTAAGCTTCCTCATCTGTAAAAATGCCCATAGTAATAGTTCTTATCTCTTGTTGTGAAGATTTGCTTATACTCTATAAAATTGCAGGAGTTAACAAAGTAAATATGGGTTCTGCCATTATAGACTTTATATTTACAAGCTATTGAGTTAAAATGCAAAAATAATGCTGCTTTTTTAGGTTTGGTAGGGATTAAATAAAATGATACATGTGAAGAATACAGCATAGAATCTAATAAATGTTTATTTTTGTCATTTTGATGGTTATAGTTATTAAATTAACCTCAGCAGACTGTGTGGTTATATCATAGATTAAAAGTATGCCCTGTATAATCAAGTGGTGGGGGGGAGTGTTCTAAAGGAAGAAGTTGCACTTTTCTGTGAAAAGATAAAGATATTTGCTCTAATAAAACATTCTAAAACAATGAAGTTTAATTTTTCACCCATCACATTGGCAAA